ATGGGGGACAGCCGTCCGAACGAAGCGCATCCGGCTGGCGATTCGACCGCGCAAAGTGAGGCTCGCGTTCACCTTTCGTCACCCCCACCCGCATCTACGAACGACCACCATGGCTTCGTTGCCAGCTGAAGTCCGGAAGCAGCACAGAGCCAGTCTCGACTACGGACTATGCAAGGCTTTGTTGATCGGTTCTCTTTGCGACCAGCTGGACAGTTGTCTGTTGGACTCATTCGAAGTGTGAGGCGCAAACGTCACTGGTCTGTGAGTTTTGGGCTGTTTTGCCTCGATATTTGGAAACAAAGTGGCCGTAAGACAATTCACAACTGTTCGCCCTGCGGTCACCAATTTATTTTGTATTGCGAATCCAGTTTGCCATATGATGACCGGAGGCACTTTGGATGTGCATCTTTCCGGGCATATATGGGGGCTCTGAAGCAAATGAAGCCATTATCAGATGGTGAACTTTGTCAAATTCTCTCTTGAATCCCCAGTAAAAGTTATTCTTATTCTGTTGGGAAGGTGCATAAAGGTTTATTTATTATGTCCGCACTTTAGGAAATTAGGCAATTCTCAAGATTAAAAAATCAAAAAAATAGACTTTCGGTTTCTAAATGGACTTTGTTGGCCCTTTCTTCAATTTTCCAGACGAAATGCTGTGTGTTGTCTTTTAAGCATTTTTTCACAGCCGTTCATGTTTCAACAAAGGTAGTTACCGCTATATATATCTAAATAACGTGACTCAAATTCCATACATTGTGCATGGCATTGGTAAACCTAAGATTTGTGGATCGTGGTTCTATGCGTTTTAGCGTCGCAGAGCGTTACATGATTACAACTTCCCAGAAAAACATTAAATACCGGTTTTTGCGTTTTAAAAAGGCACGACATATGTCTTGCGCAGTTGTTTTCCCAAAATATAGTTAGAGTCGCGATAACATCAAAAGTTAATTCCTACTTAGCTAACAGTTTGACCTCCTTGAACGCAGATGTCCATCGTGTGTCCCAAGTCAAGGCGTACGCAGGGGCGGTGACTTACGCACAAATTAATATGTATCTCTAGCGGACTTGCTCAGCAACTCTCGCACTTTCTCCTCCCTCCACCGCCTGACACCGATGTATCAGGTCGGCCGGAGGCGAGGTAGGGCGCGATGACATACAGAGCTGCGACATCTCGCCTACGTGTGACACGCACAACCTAGTTCCTGCACTGGGTGCCAGGGTATCGAGAAAGGGAGGGGACGGCTCACATCTCAGTTAGGTGAGAAGGTTAGTTGGGCTTAGAAGGGTGATGGCCAAGGCTAAACACAGGGCTATGTGTCCCCGTTCTGGGCTTGAAGGATTATTCATGTCTGCTATGCCATGATCCGGCAAACCATGACCTCCACAGCCGGGCACGCTCTTGCAGCCCTCTGACACCTGGTTCCCTGCCAGTGGATGCGTTTACGCTCACGTTGGGTATAGAGGTCGTGTGCATGCTTAACCAATCCTCCTACTCTTTCTGACCCCTTTTCTCTGTTCGTCAAAGTCCCGGTCAAGTGTTTGTTGTGGATCAAGGGGTGTGGCGATACGCCTAGCTGCGCGTCCGGCCAGGCCTGCAACCTGCCCCCTCTCCCGCTTTTGGTCTTCTTGACTTTATCTCGACACCGGGCCGAGGTGAGGGAGGAGAAGAGAGTGCGGTAGATACTGTACAGTATACTTTCATTATAAACTAACTCAGACACAAGCCCCGCGCGTGCCATCACTTCACTGTGGAGCAGGTGGTGGATATCGTCAGCAACGACGGTCGAACTGTGGGCTGTGCCGCAAATTCGGACCTTGGCATAAGGAAATGGGAGAAGTTTTCTCCTTCTGTTTTCTGCTTCCTGGAACTCAACCCAAAAATGCCGTGTGCGGACTAAAGTGAAAGCTGTAAGGCGTCGGACAATTCCACTCGGCTAGACCGCTGCTTAAAACGACGACAGCGCAGGAAGCACGTACTCTAGTGTTGGCATGTGTGTAAGGAAATATTTTCCGCTCGTGGTCTATCTTGTTCACAAGAGGTTCTTTCGTAAAGTGGCCTCTATGGCACTTCTACTCCATCGGTCGGATTACGGGACAGGCTCGTTCGGTGGCGCCTTAGGGCTCATTTTAATACACTCGCAAGCGACAGTCCGACCATCGCGCCCGACGACGTCCAACGCGTGCTCCACAGCAAGTGCAGCAAGCAGTCGCATAGCGAATAAAACATATGAAAAATTGAGAATCGGCGAATACCCGCAATTAATATCCCCAATCACCTCCGACAGGACCACGGTTCCGTAGTTCAGTAGAAGTGCTTTGGAGTCAATGGCCAAAGTTAACGAGATTAAATTCCATATGTTCCAAACCTAAGATTGGGTAAGGTTGACAAGTAATGTCCAATCAATTAAAAAATGATCATCCAGTCTCCCTTGTTTTGTTGGTACCATTCCTGCATGTTTATATATACATCGAATGGTAATTTCAGAAATTAGTAAACGCGAGACTTAAAGCCAAATATCCGGTACATGACTTTTTAGGGTCAGCCCTAAGATTTCAATGAAAATTCAAATAGCAGACAATGCATTCCTGTGAAATAAATGCGTATTGCTCATTTAACCTAGAGTTCGTGACCTATCTGATGAAAGGTCACGAACTGTAAAAGAAAGCCGCTGTAGCGTAAAAAACGTCAACCCCGCATCTACGAAAGTTATGCCACTTTAAAGATATAACCGATCATCAACATAAGGCATAGTTTGATTTATAAAGTATTATTTATTGACTAAGAGATAATTTATTTTGCTAAAAACTACCAAATCAAAAAACGACTCTATAACGCAACTATTCAAGGCCGAATATAACAGCCAGCAGAGAAGAGGAACGTCGTAAAACGACAAAATGATGAAAAATAGTAGCAAATACAACGTGTTAGTGCTTTGTCGATTGTCCTTTAACTTTCAAAGTTGCCGAAAGGCGAGAGGGTAGGGAGACTACCAAGTTGTTTAAGGTGGTTTGGTCTATGTTATTAATAAACTAAAATTCAACTTTTGCTCCAAAGAAAGATGTTTTCTTGCTTTGTCCCAATTTCTTTTGATTAGTGCAAAAAGATTTTTTATGAATTTAGATCGGGGCTGTTGGCGGAGATAAAAATGCTTCGAAAACCGCAGGCGGAGAGGCATGCTGTTGTCTTAAATATTAGATTATAGTCGTGAGCTGAATTGGAATCATACCCCCTTTGGGCGGTGGACAGGGACATTATCCTGACACATGACGGTGTCCATTTGACGGCGATTAATGCCGTCGTGACCGAAGGCATCTTTTACGATATCGATGATGACCTTGCTATGTATCGTCTCCGCTGTTCAACGCAAGACCGTTTGCTCTCCGAATTTGATGGCCATTCAAGTCCTCAGCCGGCGACGGTTATTGAAAGTTGATGTCGATATAGTGTGCCCTCGTGAGAAGTTCTTCCAACATATGACCATCTGAGCCGATTTCAGCGGCTTGTTTTAAAATAAGACCTCATCACAAAAATAAATGCTTTTCTAAAATGAAAGTCTTTGATCGATATATTTCTGAGCAAACAAAAAACGTTCTCTTATAATTTTTTTACCACACAAGATATATGCCTTCACACCAACTCAAATACTGATATCGACATTTCATAAGTTAGGTTGTCTACTGTATATACGCCAGTTAGCTTATGCTTATTTCCGATTTTCTTCTCGAGCGCTCTCGCACCTGGAATTTTCGTATGATAGCTGATGCGAAGAAAAGGACAGAATAAGCTTATACAGTACCTACTCTTTTTCGACATCATTAATGGATTACTTGCTCGTCGACAGACTGGACCATAAGCACTTAGCCCGAAGGCAAAATGGATATCTCTGCGATCGTCACCATCTTTGTGCATCCCTGCATCAACAACTGGCAGCCAGCTTGCCCAGCGAGTCGTCGAGACCGCTCGAATAACTCCGCTGTGTCAGTATCTGGGGTTGAGATATCACGAACTGGTGATAGCTGGTAAATCAACAAGCTTAATTCTTGTGTCCACAACATGCAGCACGCATTATTTTTCCTGTGACATATCAGAGCTGAACGGTGTTGATCAATCAGAATTTTACTCCGGGGAATTCGCTAAAGAATATCCTAAAGATATCATCCTGTTCTTCGCGCAGGACTAAAGTAAAAGTAAAAAGAGAAACGTCCTTCTTTCTTGAATTTTAATCATCGTATATTTTAAAGAATTAAATGACAAACTATATATTTCGTGAATATATTGACTGCATTATGCCCGGTTTAACTATATTCCAATACTGTCAGTTACAATCAAGCAGCAGTTGTTAAACTTATATGATCCCAAACAGCTATGTTTCCGGAAGCAAAATGCCGCAATTGGGTGGGTGTAGTCAATAAGTGTCTTCAGCAATATTGTGATTCTTTTACTTCTCACACAAGTATAATGTGTGAAATAACTTTTCGTTCCCATATGCACGTCTCTGAGTAAAAAGACTTTACCTCAAGAAAGTACTAAAACTGCCTACGTACTTATACTGGTTTCATAAGTACATGCACTTCGTTTTTTCTCAGTAGTCCGCAACAGTAAGACATAGTCCCAAACAAAATCGCCAAAGCATATAAACATACTCATAAAAATGAGTGAACTCAATTCTTTTAGTTATTTAACAGCATCCTACCAACCACACATTCTGCCATGTCAACGGATGCTGTTGACAGGGGGGTTTTTCGTGCGTCGGTGCTCATGTCAGCACTCGAAAAGTGCCTGTTCCCCGTGTCTGCGCGATTTACTAATTGGTCATCAAAACGGCGTGAGCCATTCGTTCAGCAAGCGATGAAGCGACGAACATCGTATTTTACTGCTTCTGTGAGTTCTGAGTCAAGGTTGTAGTTTCTTTGGTTGAGACGGGATCCCGCGATATAGGTATAAATATGGAGGCAAAATCTTGACTGTTAGACGGACGGCTTTCTTGCAGCCAGATAATATGCGTTTTCTAGTCCTTCTTGCTGGAGCACTTGTTCTCTTGACCCTATCGGCCGAAAGGGGCGATGCCTTTGTGAAGTTTCCCCTGACGAATACGAAGGATATTAAAGGACCGAGGGATTTTACGAAAGATATACGAAGAGAAGAATCTGGGGTGCCCCCGAACGTAGAAGATAACGACGGCAACGCAGACCAGGAAGATGAAGGTGCCAGTAATGAAGAAGAGCCTCTGGAAGAAGAGCATGAGGAAGGAGAAGGCGAGGAGGCTCAAGAGGAAGAAACTGAAGAGGATGAAGACGAAGAGGAAAGTAAAGCAAAAAGCGAAGAGCGGGAGGAAGATGAGAAACCAAAAGTAGAAGAACAGGAAGAAGGAGAAGAAGAGGAGGACGAGCAAGAAGAAGGAGAGTCCGAGGGGGAAGACGGTGAAGCATCTGGAGACGAGGGAGAAGGTAAAGAAAGTCCGGTGTCCAATGAAGAGGAAAAAGATAAGGAGTCTGATGAAGATGAGGAAGGTCAGAAGCCTGAAGAAGTGAAAGCAGAGAATGAGGTGGAGAAAGGTGGGGAGAAGGAGGAAGAAGGGTCTGGAGAGGCAGAAGAGGAGAGGGGTGACGAGGAAGAAGGACATGAAGAAGAGGGAAAAGCTGAAGAGTCTGAGGGAGAAGCAGAAGAAGAAGGGGAAGAGAAGGAGGAAGGAGAGGAGGAGGAGAAAGAGCAGGAAGAGCATGAGGGAAAGCCCGAGGAGGAGGGGGAAGTGCATGAAGAAGAGAATGAGGGCGAAGGACATGAAGAAGAGGAAGAGAAGCCTGAAGACAAGGAAGAAGTAGAGGAGGAAAATAAAGAAGGGGAGGAGGAGCATGAGAATGAGCCTGAGGAAGAAGGACATGAAGAAGAGGGAAAAGCTGAAGAGTCTGAGGGAGAAGCAGAAGAAGAAGGGGAAGAGAAGGAGGAAGGAGAGGAGGAGGAGGAAGAGCAGGAAGAGGAAGAGAATCCTGAAGACAAGGATGTAGAAGAGGAGGAAAATTTTGAAGGTGATGAGAAGCATGAGATTAAACCTGAGGAAGATGATCATGAAGAAGTGGAAGATTACGACTGGTCTGATGGAGAAGAAGAAGATTGGGAAGAGAATGAGGAAGGAAAGTGGTGGGCGGAAGAGGAGGTTGAGGATGAGGGAAATCACGATGATGATTGGGAGCATGAATATGATAGCGAGGGCGAATGGCCGGAAAATGAGGATGAGGAAAATAAGTCTGAATACGAGGATCAAGAAGGAGAGGAATATAAACAATGGGAGTTCAAGCATAAGATTGAGCCTGAGGAAGAAGGACACGAACAAGCGGAACAATACGAGGAGCCTGATGGAGAAGAAGAAGACTGGGATGAAAAGGAGGAAGGAGAGTGGTGGTAGGAGGAGGAGGATGAGCGTGACGGAGAGAAGAAGATAATTCATTAAGAGTGTCCAGTACTCAAATCCCTGTAAATCAAATTGAGTGATCTATTCTAGATGTTTCATCAATGCTGACAGTAGAATGTTTTTTGTTCTTATTGCCATATTTTAATTTCTGCTCATTTTTTCATATTTCGCAATGATTTACACTGCGGTACAAAATTTCATTCCGTTTTGTAAATTTTTACTGTATCATTAATTGTTTTACCTGCTAATGAAATTGCCCGTCAGCAGCTGTAAGCTTAACCCTAAATTTGTTAAAAAAAATAGTTTCTCTTCAGCCTGTGGTCAACCGTTCCTGTCTTCTCTACCCAGATGGGAAAACAGACTTGCATAGGAAGTACGGGCAAGTTCGTAGAGCCTAAGATACACAGATTAGCCACTATGCTCCATGAGTGTCCTCAATGCCAGAAGAGTAGTGATGACGTAATGGCGAATCCCACTATGGTGCAGAGCCTTGCGAGCTTTTAAAGGCGCTTTTTTTCTTCAATCAGCAGCGCCTCCAGATAGTTAAGTTGGCAAACTTGACGTCTACTCGTGCTTTCCAAGTGCTGACCCTACAGTAATCGGCTCTCTGAAAGCCGCAAGAGAGGGCCCCTGCAACCTGGTCACTTTGCAGGAGGAGGTTCAAATTATCCGATAAGTTATTAAATTAGTTAAGACAAGACTGTTATTCCGCTGTGGGGCGAAAATAGGCCCTGTATAGGCATTTCGTGAGTACATGCAGCTCGGGGTCGCTGGGAGGTCCGTAGTAAGGTGACTGAAGAGGGGATTCGGTGCCACTGGTTTGTGTACACTGTTTAGATCGCGAGGAGCATAGTAATCCGTCTTCTAAATCCTGCTTTATGAAGATCACACTTTGTAACTCTGCTCGATTACAAATTTTCCTAGCCGGCGCAGCCAATCCTATTATAAGAGTCAAAATCAAGTTTAGATTCCGATTTTTTTGGATTTTTATCTTCATGCACTACCACTATGAAAAAAACATTGAAATAAATTTATTATCGTCCATAAAAACAACTAAAACACTTTACCAGTATAAGCTGTCTAATATCGATCTCAAGATGAGACTCAGTCACCATTCCGCTCCAGGGAAAATATCGTGAATAAATCATTGTTAATGTACATGAATCAGATTATTGATGCAGCCTCTTAAATTAATTCGTCGTTCTGCAATAACCTCATGACATCTGCAATAGTTTCAAGACCTCTTGTCACTACTGTTTGCTGGAGACTCATTTATATGTCCAAATGGACGGCAGATATAGCCCTGGTATGCCAAAAATAATAACGTCATTTGACGAAGTCTTCAGACCTTAAAGGTCCCGCTTTCGATCTTCTTGACTTTATCTCGACACCGGGCCGTGGTGAGGGAGGAGAAGAGAGTGCGGTAGATACTGTACAGTCTACTTCCATTATAAACTAACTCAGACACAAGCCCCGCGCGTGCCATCTCTTCACTGTGGAGCAGGTGGTGGATATCGTCAGCAACGACGGTCGAACTGTGGGCTGTGCCGCAAATTCGGACCTTGGCATAAGGAAATGGGAGAAGTTTTCTCCTTCTGTTTTCTGCTTCCTGGAACTCAACCCAAAAATGCCGTGTGCGGACTAAAGTGAAAGCTGTAAGGCGTCGGACAATTCCACTCGGCTAGACCGCTGCTTAAAACGACGACAGCGCAGGAAGCACGTACTCTAGTGTTGGCATGTGTGTAAGGAAATATTTTCCGCTCGTGGTCTATCTTGTTCACAAGAGGTTCTTTCGTAAAGTGGCCTCTATGGCACTTCTACTCCATCGGTCGGATTACGAGACAGGCTCGTTCGGTGGCGCCTTAGGGCTCATTTTAATACACTCGCAAGCGACAGTCCGACCATCGCGCCCGACGACTTCCAACGCGTGCTCCACAGCAAGTGCAGCAAGCAGTCGCATAGCGAATAAAACATATGAAAAATTGAGAATCGGCGAATACCCGCAACTAATATCCCCAATCACCTCCGACAGGACCACGGTTCCGTGGTTCAGTAGAAGTGCTTTGGAGTCAATGGCCAAAGTTAACGAGATTAAATTCCATATGTTCCAAACCTAAGATTGGGTAAGGTTGACAAGTAATGTCCAATCAATTAAAAAATGATCATCCAGTCTTCCTTGTTTTTTCGGTACCATTCCTGCATATTTGTATGTACAGTGCGTTACCTATCTCATGAAATGTTGGCTGAAATTCTGAAATGCCTTTTCGATTAGGAAGGATTACTTGGTCGCGGTTGCGAAACCGATTATCTTAAGGCATACTCTTATACCATTTTAGACTTGGCAGGATGTCGGCTTTAAAATGCACTTCTTTTCAATCTCCTGTAGAAAGCGTGCTCGGTAAAAAACATGACTACTTAAGTAGCATGCAGTTTTCCCATTGATTTTCAATGGTCTTGGAAATTCAAATATATTTTATAGAAACCACAAACAAAAATATGCTTTCTTTTAGTCAATCAATAGAGAATTACGTCTTCTTTATATTATATACTTAGGGAAGGAGCATAATTGGGTTTAAAAAAAGTTTTCTTATTGCCGAAATATTTGGAGCCTAATCATTCGTTGCATTAGCGCTTAGTGATTAAGCTCTAGAAGGTGCATGCGTTCCGCGTAAAGATAATCCCATATTTTTCTATGTCATTAAGGAGATATTATACAGAGTCCATAAAATTTTGCAATTCATGCGGACCATGTTGTACATTTTATGAGGAGCAGTGCTAAACGGTCAGGCACGATGCTATGTGAATGGACATATCGCGGTCTTAAATAGACTCATAATTAGAAACATTTTAAAATCCTAATTATGCTCCTTCCTTAAGCATAAAATATAAAGAAGACGTAATTCTCTATTGAATGACTTAAAGAAGGCATGTTTTTGTTTGTGGTTTCTATAAAATATATTTGCATTTCCAAGACCATTGAAAATCAATGGGAAAACTGCATGCTACTTAAGTAGTCATTTTTTTTTACCGAGCACGCTTTCTACAGGAGATTGAAAAGAAGTGCATTTTAAAGCCGACATCCTGCCAAGTCTAAAATGGTATAAGAGTATGCCTTAAGATAATCGGTTTCGCAACCGCGACCAAGTAATCCTTCCTAATCGAAAAGGCATTTCAGAATTTCAGCCAACATTTTATGAGATAGGTCACGCACTGTACATCGAATGGTAATTTCAGAAATTTGTAAACGCGAGACTTAAAGCCAAATGTCCGGTACATGACTTTTTAGGGTCAGCCCTAAGATTTCAATGAAAGTTCAGATAGAAGACAATGCATTCCTGTGAAATAAATGCGTAATGCTCATGTAACCTAGAGTTCGTGACCTATCTGATGAAAGGTCACGAACTCTGAAAGAAAGCCGCTGTAGCGTATGAAACGCCCACCCCGCATCCACGAAAGTTATGCCACTTTAAAGATATAACCGATCTTCAAAATAAAGCATAGTTTGATTAATAAAGTATTATTTATTGACTAAGAGATAATTTATTTTGCTAAAAACTACCAAATCAAAAAACGACTCTATAACGCAACTATTCAAGGCCGAACATAACAGCCAGCTGAGAAGAGGAACGTCGTAAAACGACAAAATGATGAAAAATAGTAGCAAATACAACGTGTTAGTGCTTTGTCGATTGTCTTTTAGCTTTCAAAGTTGCCGAAAGGCGAGAATAGAGGAAGACTACCAAGTTGTTTTAGGTGGTTTTGTCTTTGTAATTATTAAGATAAATTCCAATTTTTGTTCCGTAGAAAGATCTTTTCTTTTTTTATTGCTTTGATTATTGAAAAAAGATTTTCGATGGGATTTGGGTCTGGGCTGTTGGCAGAGATAAAAATGGTTCAAAGGCCGCAGGCGGAAAGGCTGGTTGTGGTCCAAAATATTAGATTTTATTCGTAAGCTGAATTGGAATCATAGCCCATTTGGGCGGTGGACAGGGACATTATCCTTCAATATGTAGGTCTTTATTCGATGTCGATGAATGTCGTTGTAACTGAAGCCATTTTTTAAAATGTCGAAGAATACATTGTTATCTATCGCCTCCGCTGTTGAACGCCGGAATAGTCGCTCTCCGAATTTGATGGCCATTCAAGTCCTCCGGCGTCGACAGTTCTTGAAAGTTGATGTCGATATAGTGTGCAATCGTGAGAAGTTCTTCCGACATCCTTCCACCTGAGCCGACTTCAGCGACTTCTTTTAAAATAAGACCTCATCATAAAAACAAATGCTTTTCTGAAATGAAAGTCTTAAATCGATATATTTCCGAGCGAACAAAAAACGGTCTCTTATAAGTTTTCTAATACAAAAAATATATGCCGTCCCAACAAGCAGCAGTTGTTAAACTTATGTGATCCCAAACAGCTATGTTTCCGGAAGCAAAATGCCGCAATTGGGTGGGTGTAGTCAATAAGTGTCTTCAGCAATATTGTGATTCTTTACCTCTCACACAAGTATAATGTGTGAAATAACTTTTCGTTCCCATATGCACGTCTCTGAGTAAAATGACTTTACCTCAAGAAAGTACTAAAACTGCCTACGTACTTATACTGGTTTCATAAGTACATGGACTTCGTTTTTTCTCAGTAGTCCGCAACAGTAAGACATAGTCTCAAACAAAATCACCAAAGCATATAAACATACTCATAAAAATCAGCGAACTCAATTCTTTTAGCTCGTTAACCGCATCCTACCCCGCTTCGCTTTCTGCCATGCCAACAGATGCTGTTGACAGGGGGTTTTTCGTGCGTCGGTGCTCCTGTCAGCACTCGAAAAGTGCCTGTTCCCCGTGTCTGCGCCATTCACTCATTGGTCACCAAAACGGCGCGAGCCATTCGTTCAGCAAGCGATGAAGCGACGAACATCGTAATTTACTGCTTCTGTGAGTTCTGAGTCAAGGTTGTAGTTTCTTTGGTTGAGACGGGATGCCGCAATAGAAGTATATATATGGAGGCAACAAATTGACTGTTAGACAGACGGTTTTATTTCAGCCAGATAATATGCGTTTTCTAGTCCTTCTTGCTGGAGTACTTGTTCTCTTGACCCTATCGGCCGAAAGGGGTGATGCCTTTGTGAAGTCACCCCTGAAGAATACGAAGGATTTTAAAGGACCGAGGGGTTTTACGAAAGATATACGAAGAGAAGAATCTGGGGTGCCACCAAGCGTAGAAGATAACGACGGCAACGCGGACCAGGAAGATGAAGGAGCCAGTAATGGAGAAGAGCCTCTGGAAGAAGAGCATGAGGAAGGAGAAGGCGAGGAGGCTCAAGAGGAAGAACCTGAAGAGGGTGAAGACGAAGAAGATAATGGAGCAAAAAGCGAAGAGCGGGAGGAAGATGAGAAACCAAAAGTAGAAGATCAGGAAGAAGGAGAAGACGAGGAGGACGAGCAAGAAGAAGGAGAGTCCGAGGGGGAAGAGGGTGAAGAATCTGGAGACGAGGGAGAAGGTAAAGAAAGTCCGGTGTCCAATGAAGAGGAAGAAGACAAGGAGTCTGATGAAGATGAGGAAGGTCAGAAGCCTGAAGAAGTGCAAGCACAGAATGAGGTGGAGGGAGGTGAGGAGAGAGAGGAAGAAGGGTCTGGAGAGGCAGAAGAGGAGACTGGTGACGAGGAAGACAATAAACAGGGAGAAGAGGAGGCTGGAGGAGAGGAAGAAGAGGGGAAGGCGGATGAGAAGGGAGAGGAGGAAGGAGAAGATGAGGAGGAGGGACATGTGAATCACGAGGAAGAAGAAGATGCCGGAGAAGGCAAGGAAGGTGAACAGCGTGAAGAAGCGGTAGACGGGAATGAAAAGAACGAGGAAGACGAAGAGGAGGGGGATGAACACGAGGGGGCGGAGGGCGAGTCTGATAAGGAAGAGGAAGAAGGTGAACATGGGGATGCAGAGTCTCAGGAGGAGGAAGCAAATGAGGAGTCTAAAAAAGAGGTAGAAGGTGAGGAGTCGATGGAGAAGCCTGAAGGAGCAGGAGAAGGTGAGGCGTCTGAAGACGCAAAAGAGGAAAATGATGATAATGATAAGGAGGATAATAATGCGGACAAGGAAAATGTAGAAAAGGAGGGAGAGCAAGACTGGGAGCCTAACGAAGAGGAGTCTGAAGAAGAAGAAGAAAAAGAAGAAGAAGAAGAAGAAGAAGAAGAAGAAGAAGAAGAAGGAAAAGGAAAAGAGGAAGGAGAAGGAGAGGAAGAGGAGAAAGAAGAGCAGCAAGAGCATGTCGGAGAGCAGGAGGAGAAGCCTGAAGAAGAGAATGAGGGCGAAGAGCATAAAGGAGAGGAAGAAAAAGAAGAAGAAGAAGAAGAAGAAGAAGAAGAAGAAGAAGAACAAGAAAAAGAAGAGGAAAGTGAAGAGGAAGGGGAAAGAGAGAAAGAGGGGATAAAAGAACAGGAAGGGCTTGAGGAACAGCACGAGGAGGAGGAGCATGAAAAAGAGAATGAGGGCGAAGGGCATAAAGAAGAGGAAGATGAAGAGAAGCCTGAAAACGAGGCAGAAGAAGAGGAGGAAAATAAAGAAGGGGAGAAGGAGGAGCATCAGAATAAGCCTGAGGAAGAAAAACATGAAGAAAAGGGAGAAGAGGAAGAGTCTGAGGGAGAGGAAGAAGAAGAAGAAGAAGAAGAAGAAGAAGAAGGGGAAGAGAAGGAGGAAGGAGAGGGGGAGGAGGAAGAGCAGGAAGAGCATGAGGAAAAGCACGAGGAGGAGGAGCATGATGAAGAGCACGACGAAGAGGAGCATGAAGAAGAGGAAGATGAAGAGAAGCCTGAAGACAATGAAGAAGAAAAGGAGGAAAATAAAGAAGGGGAGGAGGAGCATGAGATTGAGCCTGAGGAAGAAAAACATGAAGAAAAGGGAGAAGAGGAAGAGTCAGAGGGAGAAGAAGAAGAAGAAGAAGAAGAAGAAGAAGAAGAAGAAGAAGGAAGAAAGAAGGAGGAAGGAGAGGGAGAGGAGGAAGAGCAGGAAGAGCATGAGGGAAAGCACGAGGAGGAGGAGCATGATGAAGAGCACGACGAAGAGGAGCATGAAGAAGAGGAAGAGGAAGAGAAGCCTGAAGACAATGAAGAAGAAAAGGAGGAAAATAAAGAAGGGGAGGAGGAGAATGAGAATGAGCCTGAGGAAGAAGGACTTGAAGAAGAAGAAGAAGAAGAAGAAGAAGAAGAAGAAGAAGAAGAAGAAGAAGAAGAAGAAGGAGAAGAAGAAGAAGAAGAAGAAGAAGAAGAAGAAGAAGAAGGAAATAAAGATAAAGGAGAAGGAGAGGAAGAAGAGGAGGAAGGGCATAAGGGGGAGCGTCAGCAAGAAAAGCTTGAAGAAGAGAATGAAAGCGAAAAGTCTGATGAAGTGGAAGAAAAAGTATCCAATGAAGAAGAAGAAGAAGAAGAAGAAGAAGAAGAAGATAATGCATAAAACGTGTCCGGCACAGGAAACCCTGTAAATCAATGTAAATGAAGGACTCGGGATATTTCGTCACTGCAGACAGTAGAATGTCTTTTGTTCTTATTGCATTATTTTCGTTTTTGCTCATTTTTCCACATTTCGCAATGATTTACACTGCGGTACAAAATTTCATTCCGTTTTGTAAGGTTTTACTGTACCATTATTTGTTTTACCTACTAATGAAATTGCCCGTCAGCATCTGTAAGCTTAACCCTAAATTTGTTAAAAAAAATAGTTTCTCTTCAGCCTGTGGTCAACCGTTCCTGTCTTCTCTACCCAGATGGGAAAACAGACTTGCATAGGAAGTACGGGCAAGTTCGTAGAGCCTAAGATACACAGATTAGCCACTATGCTCCATGAGTGTCCTCAATGCCAGAAGAGTAGTGATGACGTAATGGCGAATCCCACTATGGTGCAGAGCCTTGCGAGCTTTTAAAGGCGCTTTTTTTCTTCAATCAGCAGCGCCTCCAGATAGTTAAGTTGGCAAACTTGACGTCTACTCGTGCTTTCCAAGTGCTGACCCTACAGTAATCGGCTCTCTGAAAGCCGCAAGAGAGGGCCCCTGCAACCTGGTCACTTTGCAGGAGGAGGTTCGAATTAACCGATAAGTTAGTAAATTAGTTAAGACAAGACTGGTATTCCGCTGTGGGGCGAAAATAGGCCCTGAATAGGCATTTCGTGAGTACATGCAGCTCGGGGTCGCTGGGAGGTCCGTAGTAAGGTGACTGAAGAGGGGATTCGGTGCCACTGGTTTGTGTACACTGTTTAGATCGCGAGGAGCATAGTAATCCGTCTTCTAAATCCTGCTTTATGAAAATCTCCCTTTGTAACTCTGCTTGATACCAAATTTTCCTAGCCGGCGCAGCCAATCCTATTATAAGAGTCAAAATCAAGTTTAAATTCCGATTTTTCGGATTTTTATCTTCATGCACTACCACTATGAAAAAAACATTGAAATAAATTTATTATCGTCCATAAAAACAACTAAAACACTTTACCAGTATAAGCTGTCTAATATCGATCTCAAGATGAGACTCAGTCACCGTCCCGTTTCAGGAAAAATATCGCGTGCAAATCATTTTTAATGTACATGAATCAGATTATTGATGCAGCCTCTTAACTTACTTCGGCCTTCTGCAATAACCTCATGGCATCTACAATAGTTTAAAGACCTCTTGTCACTACTGTTTGCTGGAGACTCATTTATATGTCCAAATGGACGGCAGATATAGCCCTGGTGTGCCAAAAATAATAACGTCATTTGACGAAGTCTTCTGACCTTAAAGGTCTCGTGCTTTTTATTTGTATAATAATTGCGTCCACGCTGATTGCCCATTGTTTAATACCGACGCCGCAAAACATTTTGTAGTGGTAGTCGGCATGGGATCATTGAAAATGAATCCGCAGCATGGGGAATGGATTGTCCATTTAAAGCGCGAAAAATCAAAAACGATCCGATGCCCGTTATGTGTGTAATTTTTCCTCCACGAATGAGCATGTGCCACGACAACTTTGATCAGATACTTAGCTTAGACTAAACTTCTTCACAAGGCGTTACTTTAGACTTAAGCCGCTTACCGAAAGCTCCCCCCCCCTAAAACATATTCAAACAGAATAGCCAGCTTAAGAGTGATCGAATGACGGCGGTGCATGAAGCCAAGTCTCAGGTGAACTTCCACACAATGTAATAATGTGTCTTGATTGGTCAATCTTCCAGGCATTTTTGCAAATTGGGCCTTAATACAAAATCACTCCTTAATTAACGTACATGGTTTCAGCAGACTTTTCAGAACTGCACAAGCTTACTTACAGTTCCAACAAGGAGCGCGCAAACATTTACTCCTTCTGCTCGTAATACAGAGAAAGACATCCGCAAAATAAATTGACCACAGATGTCGATGCTTTTGTAGCTTTATTCTTGTACCTGCATCATCAATTACCCTAATTTTGTTGAAATCCCCGTTTGGGACAACCTAACCCAATTTAAATAAGCTACCGGAGTTTTGTTTTCCGCGTTAAAATTACAAGTCGGTACTGTGATGGACTTTGGCAGTATGAGCGGTAATACCAAGCCTAACACACTTTCCGTCATAGAAGAACTTTATTCCATGAAAGCTATGCAAATTAACTTGACGAGGTTGCCCTCTTTTGCAATCCTTAGAGATGCTCTAGAAAATGTACAATGTTTTGCGGTACAATGTTTTTTTCTTTTCTGACTTCTTGTATTAAGACATCGTGGATAATTCTCGAACACAAACCAAATTGCTTTAAGTTTTGGGGTAAACCTATCTCCTAAAGTCACACCATCAGATGGACTCGTCAACATGGATAAAGAAATTAAGATTATTTGCATTTTGAAAAAAACGTTTATGAATTCCAGACGACCAATCAACTCTCAGCCAGTGTCGTCATCGTACAAATTCTTGCTAGTGAAGCGGCTGCAGGAGTTTTTGCATTTTAACTAAATTGTTCAGTGAAATGGATTCATGCGGAAACGTGAAGAATTTATAAAAATCCAACCAACATTTTCCGTCTCCGACTCGTTCTTCCTTCGATTGATTTAAGTTAGGATTTAGTTTTGATTTATCCCACTCTGGACATTTCCAAAAAACTAGTCTAAGATGACAAGCCACGTGTAACTTCGACGTCTTGGGGATCATCTGCTGAAAATGCGCGAATCATGCCCAACTAGGTTAACGTTGAACGATCCAGCTGGCCGTTGCAACCGCCTTATAACAGATGAGTTCCAAAAATCCTGAACGGTAGGGTGTCACCAGACCGGTGTTTTTTCATCGTATTAAGTCCGTCCCGGTAGGTTTAAGCATGTCGAAAATAAACGCAGTTACAGTATCTCTTTGTGGCACAAGTCACTAATGTTCTCATACAGGAGAGCCTGAGTGCCTTTTCTGAGTTTCCGACAGGCGTGAAACACTGACGCAGCCTTCATTATCTAGCCCCTTCGAAAAACTTATTCCATCACGGAATCGTTCGCTCTTTGACCTCCATATCTGGACTCATCCAGCAACCATCCTTACCCGGAATCGTGGCGCATCAGTTTAGCTAACTTCGTCCCATGGGGGGAGAACGTCATGTAAATAACTCCCTAGCTCAATCCGAACGGGTTTGTTTATGATTTTGATTCGACCACGACATCCCAAGCCGCCTACTTGTCCACAAGTAATGTTTCTTTAAAAGATTTTTCCGTCTTAGGTGAAAATGTTTGAAGTCAACCTTCGTTTTACGATGTGAAAACTACTGTCAGCGGATTGCGATGCATACACCTCAGTAGTCTCCCGTCATTCCGTATCGTTAGCATTGTTGCATAGATGCTATCTAAAATCTGTCCATAATTATCTGTTTTAACATATTTCTCCAGAAATCTTAAGAACAATGGTTGTGAGTTTACCCAAATATCTGGTAACCTTCCTTCCGCATCCTTATTTCCGGCCATGTTATACACTTTCTCCGCCGGACATCATGATGACTTCGAATGAATAGTTGAGCAGGTCAGTAAGACATCGATACTTTGGCCGGAACGGATCATGCAGCGCACCTAATTACTTATATTGGACGCGACGAGTTCACTACCACAGTAACCAATATCAGGAAATGTTAACCAAAATGCTGAAAGGGGGTTTTCGATAAAGAAGGATTACTTTAGTGGAATTCACTTATTGCTCATCTTGCGGCATAATGCAATGACAGTGCAGGCACAACGGAATTTTGGCTTTCAAAAACACTTCATTATGGTCGCCTGAAAGAATTGCACTCGATAAAAGTGAACACATATGTAGCTTTTTATTTTTCTACTGATTGTCGATGTTCTAAAAAGTTAAAAAACATTCTATTGGACATATTTACAAAAAATATTTTTTCTACATCCATTTGGTCAAAAACCAAGGCTTCTTCCAAGTTTCTACATGAAAATTATTGGAATTATTATGAACATGCAATGTCCGGTGCGTTTATTGACGCACATTATAAAGCATACGATATGGGCCATATTAATTGTAAAAATTTTGTGGAGTCTCTCAGTTACTTTTCTAGTGGCACAGAGGAATTATGCTCTGCTCACAAGAAAGGTGTACAGCATGCACACTAGAAACCCTGGACATAAATGGACGGCAGGTCGGGATCGAAATTATTCATGGATTAAAAAAGCATTCTAAACCAATAGATACCCTCTTTCGTGCATAGGGTTAGCAGAAGGCGTACGTTTCCACCAATGGAACGTAATAAGGAATGTCTTTGTTCGTTATTTCTACGAAACATGCTTGAATATATAAGGACATCGAAAACCAACAGAAAAATTAGGCACTACATTAATGTTATTTTTTCCGAATGCGATTCCTTTAGACGACCAAAAAGTTATTGAAAAGCTGGTCCAAAGTACCGTGGGATTATGCCGCAAGACAAACGGTATAACAACCCTACTGAAATAATCCTTCCCAATCAAAAATGTATTTCAGAATTTAGATTCACATTTCACGAAACCGGCCACTGGCTATAATTTGGAGCATGTATTGAATCTAAGAGAAAACTAAGCGATGCAAACAGACGAATCGTGGTGCGCTTGTTGGTTGCAGTGAAATCATTTCGATCACTTGGTAAAATGCAAATGGCCTCTTGGTAGATTGAAACTTTTGATCTTCAAAATATAATCGTTATAATTGCCGTCCGCCTGAAAATTTTTTAAAATTCTGAAGTGCCTAGTTTGCTACATGTCTACGACTTGCTAACGTATGTTTTCTGAGAAGAAGGACATACGGTCGCTTTACTAAGGCGTTTATTAGTCCGAAATCTTGAAATATTTCTCGAACTCCTAAGCAAGTACTGTCACAAAGATTGAGGCGTTGGAACTCGCCTCATTACTTAGATCGTGTGCTTTCCGCCTTAGTATAAACTATATTTTTGTTTGAGTTTTTCGTATAATTCCCATTTGCACTTCATGTTTTTGCCCTTCTCTGGGT